GGTGGAGAAAATCATTACCTTTAGGGCCAGGTGGTGCAGGTGGAGGCACGTAGAATTCCGATTGTGGTCTTCTCCTCTTCTTCTTGCAGCATACAAACAGCAGACTCAAAATCACTAGTATCGCCACACCTCCGATAGCAATTCCAACCACCACCCCAGTCGATATCCCTGATGATCCTTCATCAGAGGGCGTCGTCGATCCCGTCGTACCTGACGGCGGCGAGGGAGAACCCCTACCTGTAGGCGCCGGAGGAGAGCCCCTACCTGAAGGCGCCGGAGGAGTGACCCTACCTGAAGGCGGCGGGGGTGAATCTCTGCTCGGAGGCGCTGGAGGGGAACCTCCGGCCGCTGGGGGTGGAGAAGAACCACCATCCGGCGGGGACGGAGTCGATCCAGATGGTGGAGACGGAGGCGGGGCGGTGGTTGGCGGGGAAGGAGATGACGATGGAGGAGGAGCGGATGGGACGGCTGGTGGAGGCGGCGGAGACGACGGCGGTGGGGACGCCGCCGGGAGGGGAGGCGGAGGCAGGACAGGAGCGGCCGGAGGCGGAGAAGTAGTGTTTGACGGCGGAGAAGTGGGAGGAGGCGCGGCTCCCGGCGCAGGAGATGACGACATTGCTACCTGAGAAAGGAATCGAATTGGGAAATTTGTTGTTGATGAGCAGCTGCGTCGTCTCTTTCTCTCTTGTTGGACTGTAGAGAGAGAGAGAGAGAGGGAATGTGAAAAGTAGAATGGTTGGAATATAAGAAAAGGAAGACAGCAGTGCGTGTGAGATTGATAATTGGATTTCGAATTCCTTTTCCAATTTTATTATTTTTATTTGCTAAATTTGAAAGTTTCAAGTCAAAATCAAATATGGCGAAGCGAGTTGAGATTTATCAGTCGGTCTTCTCTTATATTAGAGAGAAGAGATATGTAAACAGTGAAGCACCGCTGCTCTATCTCCTACGATCCGTTGTTTCGCGTTGAGCATGGGTCGGTATAGTTCATAATGTTTCGAAAATTGGATATTACTAAAATTCAACATTCGAAACCAAATCAATATTGAAGTAGTACGAAGTCTCGATTTTGTTTGGAGATTTTTTATTTCCCGATTCAGTTCAATGTTCGGGATTATCGAAATAATTCGGTTCAATTTGAAACTCCAGTGATATCTAAAGTTTTTTTTTTAGAATGACTATCTAGTTACTTAAATGGTTAATTGGAGATAAATTTTCAATCTATTTTTCATTTTCATGTTCAGTCTATTTTTTTTTTTTTTTCAACTCCACTCCATATCAAAATCCTCACTTTCCTATTCAGTCCATGTATATATACTAATATTATTATTAACCATTTACCTTATTTGAAAACTGATGTAGAGCGTAGTACAAATGGGCAGATAATGAAATACGCTCTCGTGAAATAGAACGATCAAATTTTCATTCATCAAAAATTGACTTTCTTTTCTGTTCCATCCAGCATAAATAATGAAAAGAAATTAAAATAAGAAACCTAGTTTTGCCTAAACACTTGCAAGACAATTATTTTCCTACCATAATTATTATAAAGACTAAAGGAAATAAACTAGAATAATAATAATACTGATAAAAGATAAATAGATTAAACCCGGAGCCGGTCGTATTTATTCAGAAATGCAATGGCAGTCTCGTCTTCATCATCCTCCCCCAGTTGAGGAGGATTCGCCCTCGAATTCGAACCGGTCTCGTCTTCCTCAGAGTTGTCTCCCACGAAAGGCACCAAATGCTTGACATTGAAGACGTCCGACGTGCGAATATGAGAAGGAAGACGAAGGCGATAAGCATTCGGATTAATTTTCTCAATTACCTCGACCGGACCAATCTTGTGGGCTGACAACTTGTTATACTCGTGGGCCGTGAACCTGTCCTTCGTCAAGACAACCCAAACATAA